TGACGTATAACTACTTTCTAATCTAAGGTATGGTCTATCCAAGTTCTAGTCTAACACAAAATCTATCCATGTTCTATTTTAAGATCAAGTTTAGCTAAGATCTTGTCTATCTAAGATCTATCCTATCTCAGATTTAGGTTCTAGTTGTAGTGTATGTAAGGTCTAGTCTATCCAAGGTTAAATGTGAGGTCTAGTCTAGGTTTTAATATATCTAAGGACTAGTTTAAATTCTAATAATTTAGGTCTGGTCTATTGTATAAGGGGTCTAGTTTATATAAAGCCTAAAATCTAGTCTAAGTTCTATTCTATCTAAGGTCTAGTCTATCTGAGACCTTAAATCTAGTCTACATAAATTCTAACATAGCTACGATTTAGCCTATCTAAAGCCTGGAGTCTAGGCTCAAAATTTGTTTTTAAATTACGGATTTACCTAGATGCATATCAAGGAGAAACAAAATAATTGCCTTCTTAATGGTCCACCTGCGTCCACCTCAATAAGGCGGCTAGCACGCTGTTTTGTGGTTTAAAGCAAAACTGCGATATCTGCGCCTTTCGGCCTAATCCCCTTTCAGCAAACCACTTTTACAAATCACATTTTACATGTCTAGTCGGCATCTGTGGCCTAAAGGTTGACGGTATGCTTCGTAATTGCAAGATGCCAAGTTTCATCCCATTTACGGCCAATTTGGCAGCAGACCGCCTTTTTTTTTTTTTTTTTTTTTTGGTTTGGACTGTGGTTTCGAGAGTCGGCCAATGAGGCAACACTGGCACACTGCTGACCGTAGATTTGCCTAGTGAAATGACAAACACACATGAAAATGTTGGGGTTGGTTCTGCAACGGCCTCAAAAGGACACACACCTAGCGTTTTTTTTTTTTTTTTACAGTCATTTTTTCCCCACCACCAAACCAAAACTGGAGCCCCGGAAACCACGTAAAAGAACTCTGGGTCCAGTTAACGTTTCCCGGCCCATCTACACACTGGCTGATCTTTCATTCATTCTTTCTCACGCTCTTCTACGTCGGAGGGGTGTCACATTGTCTTGCTTCCAATTACATCTGCGCCGATGTCGCGTGTTCTATACTACACGACGATTCAGCGTTCAACGTCTCCAGAACATCTAGAACTGGCCCTAGCCCAAAACCCCCAACCAACAGTCTGAGCCTAGGTCACACGAGAGACTCTTTTCGAAGAAAGCGGTATAACGTTACACCCCTCTGACATTGATCCGACCAAGAAAGTGTGTAGATGGGCCGGGGAACATGAACAGGTTCAAAGTTTGTATTAAGGTATGTTGACTACTGACCTTACAAAGAAACGTTTTCATCTCGAGAAGCTGCAAGTTCATCTCCTGAACCATGAGCTGCATCCATGAGCTGCCAGCGTGCATGTAGGGAGGCATAGTAAAAAGTTAACATGTGGTACGACATTTTAAACAGTTAACATCTGTTACGGCATGGTAAACAGTAAACATCTCGTACGACATGGTAAACAGTTAACATATGGCATGTTTAATGTAATAAATGTGATGAGGTCAAGACATGTAAAGAAATAGTAATGTCTGCATATCCACTAGTATCAACAGGTAAAGATGAAATCACTAATGTTGACTTATAGGAGCGAACACCTGTTTGGGCAGTACTGTAGATAAACATTGCAAAACTGACTGAGATATTAAAATAAACAACTAGGCTTACGAGGTAATGAAAGCAAACGGACACTTAAACAACTGGGCGAGATTGGTGAGAGGGCCTTGAGCTCACTCTGGACACAACGGAACGTCGTGGGGGACGGGCCTCGGTGAGCTGGTGCGCGTGCCTAGTGGAAAAGAATATCTTATCCCTTAAAGTCCATCGTGTCCGAATTGTCTGCCAGTGTCCCTCTGCCACCTGCCAACAAAGTCCAACAGGTGTCCGGTAAACCAAACGTAAGCTTGCCGCTTGGTCGTCCAGGTATGCAGACTGCTTTAATTATGCTACCGCAACGACTTCTTATCTCACAATACCTTTTGCAAAGTCACAATTTCGTCTTGTCCCTGTCCGATAACATCCGGTAATAGGTGCAGCAGGAGAAACCAACCCTGAGCCTCATGAACTCAGGTGGGCCCACTCTCTGAAAATGTCTAGGAGCTCGTGGGCCAAAACATTTGTCGACGAGAGGTTACTTTTATTGATGATTGGTAGACTCCTGCTGTACATGCTCCCCTGTGGAGTTTATTCTTACGAATACAGACTGACTGACTGACTGACTTTCTACCCCACCAGGACATCACACAAGCGATAAACACCCAATAACACAAAGTGCCACCATGTGGATGAGGACCGCCGTGGAGAGGTCCCAGAAATCGCGTTCAGACAATTGGCCATATTTATGGCCTGTCTATATTGCGGCCCCCGGCAAAAGCCAGGGTGGGGCTTCAAATAACAAAAAAAATTTCGTCCTGAAAAGGACGAAACCGGAATCATAACGAATACAGACAGCAAGAGGGCCTTTTATAGCGCTAGGAAATATGTGGAGGTCAACAGAACTTAAAACTAATACTAAACTCTATTTTCTTCAATTATAATGTCAGTTAGTACTGCTGTATAAAGTGGAAACATGGAAAACTATTTTATAAATAGACTACAAACATTCATTAACTGGTGCCTGCACAGAATAGGGGGAATTTAAGCATATGATAGAAACACTAATGTAGAGATTTGAAGGAGAAAACAAGTTCCAGGGGACCAAGAGATGAAGAAAAGACGGTGAGGTTGGATAGGACACACGTTGAGAATACCTGAGAACAATATAGCTAGAATGTCTTTCCCTGGAACTCACTTGGGCGTAGGAAAAAAGGCAGATAAAGCACACACGGAAAAGGGAGCTCGAGAGTAAATGAAGTTAAAAACTTGAGGAAAACATGGGATGAGCTGCATGCAAGGACGAAGGATAGAACGAACGACTTAGCGTGAGTTGGTTGAGAGCCTATGCACGTGCAGATAGAGAAAACGATAACGTTCAAGCGAAATCTGAAATAAACATTAATGAGAGAGGCTAAAGATTCTGGTCTAGATACCATCTGTAGTATCGAAAAGATTGCACACTGTAGAACGACATAGAAGAAAAATTAGTTAGTTGAGTATCTTCTTTCTCTTTTTCTTCTTCTTCTTCTTCTTCTTCTTCTTCTTCTTCTTCTTCTTCTTCTTCTTCTTCTTCTTCTTCTTCTTCTTCTTCTTCTTCTTCTTCTTCTTCTTTCTTCTTCTTCTTCTTCTTACCTCTCTTCTTCTTCTTCTTCTTCTTCTTCTTCTTCTTCTTCTTCTTCTTCTTCTTCTTCTTCTTCTTCTTCTTCTTCTTCTTCTTCTTCTTCTTCTTCTTCTTCTTCTTCTTCTTCTTCTTCTTCTTCTTCTTCTTCTTCTTCTTCTTCTTCTTTTTATTCCTCAGCCTCCTCTTCATTCTTCTTCTTCTCCTTTTTCTACTTCATTTTTCTTCTTTTTCCTTTTCTTCTTCTTCTTCTTCTTATTATTATTATTATTATTGTTTTTCTCCTCCTCCTCCTCCTTCTTCTATCCCCTACCATATGATTTTGGTAATCATGTCTGTCCACATATTTATATCCAACCATTTCTGATAAAGATGTTTTACATGATGCCAAATTGTATAAAATCTTTCTTGGCCTCCTCGTGACCTTTTCCACTTTATTTATCCTGTTGTCACAACGTACACCAGTTGTATCCTTTATATATCCCGTTGTCCCAACGTACATCAGTTGTCGCTTTTACATATATCCCGTTGTCACAACGTACACCAGTTGTACCTTTTATAGATCCCGTTGTCACAACGTACACCAGTTGTCCCTTTTATTTATACCGTTGTTACAACGTACACCAGTTTTCCACTTTATATATCCCATTGTTACAAAGTACACCAGTTTGTGCCTGTTTATATCCCGTCGCCACAACGTACACCAGATTTCCCCTTTATAGATCCCGTTGTCACAACGTACAGCAGTTTTTCCCGTTTCGTGGCGTGTCCAGAAAATATGGATTTAAAAAAAATATTTATTTCATGTTTTTTCTGCTAATAATAATTTCTTTGTGTGAGCTTAACTGCTCTCATAATGTCTTCATTACATGTTTGTATCTGTCCACGACAGGTCTCATCAGTCACTATCTGGATGGTGTGGATTACAAACATTACAAAGACGACCACATTGACGTCCACTTACTCTAAAGAAGTGATTTTCTGTGACAAAGCGGCCAATGTGGCAAACAGGCGGAAATCTGCCCCGTCGATGACGTTGTAGCCAGTGATTTCCATGATCTGCCAAAAGATAGAACCAAAAAAAAAAAGGGGGGGGGGATATTGGGGAATCTGTGTGTCAGTGAAATGTTTGTAAATCATGATATATTGTTTTTCTTCTTATGATAATAATTATTATTATCAATATTATTATTATCATTATTATTATTTTGTGTTCGTCCTTAAAAGACTGGTTGGCAGGTTGTGGTGTTTACTGCTACACTGCGATATCTGCGTTTCACAGCTCAGCATATCATATTTCAGTAATACCCGAATTAGTCGCCTTTTACGACATGCTTCATGTGGCAGTGGGTCTAACATTCTCCCCCCCCCCCCCCCCAATTAAAACGGTTCCGGAAACCCCAAACAGGGAAATCCCGTTAACGGTCAGCAATTAATTGTGTCAAGTGTATGGCTGAAATTAGACGTTGGCGGCCAACGTTTTGAGACATCTTATATGAAAGAACGGACTCGAGAGCTGGTTACAACTGGCAAGACTGATGGGGAAAGAGCAAGGGTACGGCAAAGGGATAAATACATGTATGGGTTGGCCATATTAATGGGCGAGACCACTGACCCGATCAGCGATTCTCGGGATCGTATGGTGGAGAAAGATGATTGTCTGCGCTTGTCGGCACGGTACATGATGGTGGTGGTGGTTGTGATGATGATAACGTTGACGATAATGATGATATGAATGAACCAAACAAACCCTAAACAAGAAACTCCTGCTCCGTGCCAGTCAACCTACTATTGACCTCCTTCAAGGCCGCTGCAGTCTGTTCTTGAGACAACCAACCTCGTTTGTGCTCGTCTGCCTGGTCGAAAGAATATGGCGGCTTTAGTTTAGACCAAAATCAGGCTTGAACATTTGTAGTGGTAGCTTATTAAATGTGTATTTTTCTATTGAATATTTTCCTCGTATCTCTGTTCACATACAAATAGGGTGACCGTAACATTCTTAGCTGAAAACGGTACGTCTTGCTAATATTTTGAGCTGAAAACGGACATCATACTAATATTGTGAGCTGAAAACGGGACATCTCACTAAAGCTTTGTGCTAAAAAAGGACATCCCACTAACACTTAGTGCTAAAAAGGGACATCCCACTAAAGTTTTGTGCTAAAAAGGAATATCCCACTAACACTTTGTGCTAAAAAGGACATCCCACTAACACTTTGTGCTAAAAAGGAATATCCCACTAACACTTTGTGCTAAAAAGGAATATCCCACTAACACTTTGTGCTAAAAAGGAATATCCCACTAACACTTTGTGCTAAAAAGGACATCCCACTAACACTTTGTGCTAAAAAGGAATATCCCACTAACACTTTGTGCTAAAAAGGACATCCCACTAACACTTTGTGTTTAAAAGGGACATCCCACTAATGTTTTGTGCCACATAGGGACATCCCACTGATGTTTTGTGCCACATAGGGACATCCCACTGATGTTTTGTGCCACATAGGGACATCCCACTGATGTTTTGTGCCACATAGGGACATCCCACTAATATTGTAAGCTGAAAACGGACATCCTATTAATATTGTCAGCTACTAAAAACAGGACATCTCAAGCACGCCAGTTTAACATCCCCAACCTCCTAGAAATAATGAGTATAGTATGTAGTATTATTGTTGTTGTTATTAATATTATTTAATAATTAAGGAACTAATACATGCTAATAATATGAGAATATACAGGCACATAAAGTATATACACCATAATAATTGAGAAATAAAAAATATGCTACAATGGCCATATTCAGAAGACACTGGAACCTCTCCAAGGGTGATCTTCATCCGCATGGTGGCACTTTGTGTCACCGGGTGTATATCCGGCTATCAAATTCACCTCACTGATCTCCACCACTTCAGTTAACTTTCTTGACATCACGGTTAGCATCGATTTCCCGTGTCTGAAAACCACAGCCTACTACAAACCCACGGATTCTCACTGTTATCTCCTCTATACGTCTTCTCACCCACTACCGTGTAAAAATTCTATTCCATATTCACAGCTCCTTCGATTGCGCAGGTTGTGCTCTGACGATTCTGACTTCTTTGATAAATCAGTTGAACTTCTTGAATTCTTCCGTGCCCGTTTCTATCCGGAACACATTCTACAAGGGGCTCTAAACAAAGTTTTAGCAATCACCAGGAGAGATGCTTTTCCTACCAAACGTAACTCCACCAATGATGGAACCAAATTGATCTTGACTTTTCACCCTAACAATGTGGTTGCTTCCAAAGTATTCTTTCGTCATTTGGACATCCTCCGCTCTGATCCGGACACCAAGATTATCTTTAGTGAGAAACCTAGATTAGTTTACAGACGAGACCGCAACCTTAAAGACATACTTGTCCGAAGCTGACTCCCACCGATCCACACAGCACTTCCTTTTGGGACTACTCAATGCTCACACAGCCCCTGCAAGACATGTCCTTTCGTTGTCCAGACTTCTTCGGTCAGTTTCCCTAATGGTTCTTTTTAAATTAGGGAACCTTTTACTTTCGAATCCCCCAACGTAATTTATGCAATTATCTGCAAACGATGCAGCAAAGCATACATTGGGGAGACTGGCAGGAAGCTAGCTGATCGTTTCCGGAAACACCTCTCCGATATCGATAAGAAGACACTCAAACCAATCCCTCTTCATTTTAATAGCCCTGACCACAGCGGTAAAGATGATATATCTGTCACAGCATTAAAATCTTGCTCTGGTGATCATACTACCCGCCTTGCTTTGGAAAATCGCCTTATCCACAGCCTTGGCGTTCTTAGTCCAAGTGGTATCAATATCCAACATACCTTTATCTAAATAGTTCTAATCTTATCACATTTTAAATGTTAATTATTTTATTTTATTTCATATTATTACTTTATTCTATTTCTTATCAGTATCCTTTATGTATCATTAACACTTGTATTTCTTTTATTCCCAGTATTGTGACTATATTTTTTAGCCATCATTTATTTTATTTTATTTCATTTATTCCGCATCACATTTTTTTAAACGTCGCTCATGTCACCCCTTAGAGATCTACATACTCTCCATTCCTCGTTTGTGTAGTTCACTTATGTTTGAAAAAGGCTGCCCGGCCGAAACGTTACGTTGTGTTGTTTTGTGCACGTTTTCCTCTTTCCCATTTTGTTGAGCTTGTTAGTCAAATTTCTCTAAAATTCCTTATTTATCGCTTGTGTGATGTCCTGGTCGGGTACAACTATAAACTAACCTAAAGGACATAAGTGTTAATTATTATATAACTAGCTGTACCCGGCCACGCGTTGCTGTGGCTCAGAATAGTGAAATGGAGAGGAAATAAAATACCTCTCAGCTAACAGTGTCTGTCATACCCCCCCCCCTCCCCTCGACGCAGTTATATCTCCCTCTCCGAAGGATTGAAAAATCATCCATGGCGAAATTATAAAAATAGACAAAGTTAAGAAATGAGAACTTGAAAAAAATATTTGTAGCTCTCTCAGCTAACTGTGTTCGGCATAACCCCACCCCCCCCCCCCCCCCACCTTTCCACAATCATATCTCCCTCTCCGTGGGATTGAAAAATCATCACCTAGCGATATTATTAAAATAGAAATAGGTAAAAAAGAGAAGATTAAAATAATATTTTAAGCTCTCTCAGCTGTGTCTGGCATAACCCCCAACCCCCCCCCCCCTCCCCCATCATATTTTCCTCTCCGAAGGATTTAAAAATCATCACCTGTTGAAATTATTAAAATTTAAATAGCTAAGAAATAAGAACGTTAAAATAGTAATTTAAGCTCTCTCTGCTAACTGTGTCTGACAACCCCCCCCCCCTCCTCTCCCACCCCTCCCCAATCATATCATCCTCTCCGAAGGATGGGAAAGTCACCGTGTGACGAAATATTGTAACTAACTAAATTGAGCCTGGCATCCGTGTCCACCCAGACTTGAATAGGCAGCATTAACTTGTACAGAGAAGTAAATGTAGCCAGTGTAACAGCTACCACATCACCCATCCAGTACCAGTACAACTGCAACCACTACCACCACAACCATCACAACAGCAACAACAATATCAACAACAACAACAACAACAACAAAACCTGTTTCTACAGTCTGTGTAGGTTGGTGTTGAAATGAGGAGTCAGCGCCGCATGCTGTCGCCACGGACTATTTAGTTTAATGTTGCCCCCGACATAGAAATACAAAAAACAAAACAAAAACTTTATCACGTAACCAGTGATGGAACCAAAGTAAAAAGTACACTATACTCACGAATAGCGGAGAAAAATACCCCGCACCCGTCATCTCTCCCTCTCCGAAGGAGCGATTTTTAACTGACCTTGGCATCCGTGTCCATCCAAACTAAACTGGACTGTAAGCCGTCTTAGGTAACAGTTTCTATCATCGCCGAATAGTTTTTAATCGAGAAGGGTCGCGGGGAGGCTAATTGTGACTTTACTGAAATCGGATGTCTTTGGGCGAAAGGCGCAGATATCGCAGCCTAGCTGTAACCCACAACACAACGTGGCAACCACCCTTTTAAGGGAAAAAGAACAATTATCACCCAGCGAGGAATCGAACACCGGTCACCCGCGTGAAGGATAGAATACTTTAAACTATACTATCGAAGACTGAAGAGTTTAGGTCAGATTTCGCAGCCTAGCTGTAAACCACAACACAAATTGCAACGGCCCTCTTGAGGGCGAACGAAGAATACCCGTGACATGACCATTGAGCATCACGTCGCCGCTGTCGCAGGCTAGCTGTAAATCCAAAAACCGACAAAGGCGTAGATATTGCAGCCTAGCCATAAACCACAACACAACGTCCCAGCCGCCCAGTTAGGGGCTAAAAAATATTTTATAACCTAGCGGGGAATCGAACGCGGGTCACCCACATGATAGGGAGAATAGTTACCAACTACGCTACCAAACACTCGAACAGATAGTATGAATGAGATTATATAATTATGCAAAGTTCAATAAGAGCTCGGCAGCCAAAAATAGCCAATCAACTAAAAAGAAATCCGGGCCGGCAACGAAACAAATAATGATTTGACCGTTGCTGGAGCTACGTCATTCGCAGCTTGTGTGATTTTCTGGCAAAAAATCACACTTGGAGTCAAAGGCAACATTGTGTGCAAGTTTGAAAGCAATCGGTTCAGTAGTTTCCGAGTTTAGGAAAAACAACATCGGAAAATTAACATTTTTGTTAATATAGATATAGGATTCTTCTTCTTCTTCTTTTTCTTCTTCTTCTTCTTCTTTTTCTTCTTCTTCTTCTTCTTCTTCTTCTTCTTCTTCTTCTTCTTCTTCTTCTTCTTCTTCTTCTTCTTCTTCTTCTTCTTCTTCTTCTTCTTCTTCTTCTTCTTCTTCTTCTTCTTCTGCACCGATGTTTCTCTTGCCCAAACGTTTTGGCGTGATGTGTTGTATTTGGGACAGTCTTGGAGGACATGATCTGTTGTCTCAGATGCCAATCCACATGTGCACATGGCTGATTCGCCGATTTTAAATTGTGTATACACGTGGCTGCGAAGTGGCCTGTGTCCTGTTCTCAGGCGTCGAATAATAACTTGCTCTGGTACAAGTTCAGCAACCTACCTGGCCAAAAATCTGCCTGTAAGTTTCCGTGTTCTCTGGGTTCAGGATGCAATATCTGGCCAGGAAATCATCTGGGACAGTATGTTGTATTGATTGTTATCAAGTAAATTTATTGTAGCTAAGTAAATATATTGTTACAAGTAAATTATTGTTACTAAGTCAATTAATTAATGCAAGTAAATGATTGTTACCAAGTAAAATATCTGTTAACAAGTGAATTGATTGTTATCAAGTAAATTTATTGTTACTAATAAAATAATTGTTACAAGTAAATAATTGTTACCAAGTAAAATGTATGTTAACAAGTAAACTTATTTTTAACAAGTAAACGGATTGTTACCAAGTACATTTATTTTTTTATCAATTAAATGTATTGTTTGTGTCACTGGGTGTTTTTCGCTTGTGTGATGTTCTGGTGGGGTACAACTTACCTACCTACTTGAAGGACATAAGTGTTAATTATTATATTATATAGGATTTTATTTTCTTATTCTTCTCATTCTGGTTCTCCATATTCTTACTCCTCCTCTTCGTCTTCTGCCTAATCCATGCCGTGTGGCGTTGGTAGCATGTCTATTCACTACCTTCTGTTTCGTGTACTTTCAATCAATTCTGACGCAGATGATGTGCTACTAAAAATCGTTCCTCCTGCTGCTGCTACTACTACTGCTGCTGCTGTTGGAATTGGTTGTAGTTAGTGATGCTGCTGGTGGTGATGATGAGGGTGGTGGTTCTGCTGCTGCTCCTCCTCTTTATTGTCTAAATAAATATTCGCTGGCGGGAAGACAGAGAACGTTGGCACACAGATACTGATTTCAATCTTATTTTCACTAGTCTATGCATATCTCCGGGAGTCGCGGTGGCGCCTGCGGATCGAAAGGTCGTGGGTTCGGTTCCTGACAGGGGTAGGACTTTTTCAAAAATGACCTTGGTTCCGAGGTCGACCCAGCCTTGAGTGGGTACCCCGTGCAGTCTTGGAAAGTAAAGGCGACCGGCGTGGTACTGACCACATCACCCACCAAGTGCCGATTGATCTATAGAAATATCGGTCTAGCTGTATTTTCACAATACGCCTAAAGGCGTGGAAAAGGAGCCTATACATTTTACTGTAAGCGTATCTCTATAGGACATAACTACCGACAGACTTACAGTTGTCGAAGTTGGCATGTCCGCCGATGCTACTGTCCGACTGGACTCGGACAAGCTGCCAAGGTTTGGTTTTGAGTTTGTTATAAACGTGTTGTTGTTTCCACCGCCTCTGATCAGCCAGTTGTTGCCGACGCTGTTCGTCTTCGTAGTCCTTGTCTTTCTGTAAAAGAATCAAACTATTCCTCATATACAGACGGCCTCTTTGTCAGTTTTTATTGAGACATTTCACGTAATTTCAAATATAGATATGTACATTTTTGTTTAATTCAGCACAAAATGATAAGTTAAAGTTAAAAGTCGAAAAGATCGACTTCAATGCATTAGGTTTTCTCCCATACTGTTTCGGTCTCTCTCCGCAGAAGGGCTAGCTACCTACTGAAAGTCTCGCACAACGCACGAACTCTGTAGCTTCAGGGGCTATCCTTGAGGATCTCCTTAAAAGTTGCACTCAAGAACCACACGACACAGCCGTGAAACGAACCGGCAACGTTCATAGTGCGTTACAATCGGCTTAACCACTTCACCACCCCTCGGCCCCCCCCCCCCCACCCATTTTTTTTTCTTTAAAAAAAAACGAATGCCGATTTCATCATCAAGTGCCTTGCCGACTGACGTGAGTGATCATGCCTCTCCAAAATCTGGAATCTGCAACTGAGTGTATCAGTTCCCTCCACGCCATGACAAAAAGCTGTTATGAATCTACTCGTGTTGTCCCCTTTTCCACAGATCTCTCCAGCGGTAACAACATGTTCCAGTTCCCATCTTCTCATAACATAAACAAACAATGATGATTGTCTCTTTCTGATGTTCCGTTCCGTTCCATTTCAGGGGGGAAAAAAGAAGATAAACTCGACCACATTTAAACTGCCGCTTCGCTGACAGCAGTCTCGTGTTATATTTATGGTCTAGTTTATTTGCGCCAAGTGTTTTGGTAAATTTGTGGTATGTACGCCTGTTTGCTGGCTTTGTGTCCCTGGCCTAACTGATAGACCTCTCCTTCTTTTCTGTGCCCCAAGTTGTCCTTGGTGTCCTTATCTCCCTGGTGGTTTTCCCTCCTGGGTCATTTCTCTGTCCTGTTCAATCTCCCCAGTATTTTGCCTTTGTGCTAATGTGTTCCCGGATGTGATTTTTTCTATCATGACGACGCGTATTTCACAAGAGACCGGGCTAGCTCGCAACTCCCTTTAGCCAACGTCCTTCCAGACCACCATTTATTGTTGTAAAATTTTGACAATTTTACTTTGCCAAAAGTACTGAAAACATCTTTTGGGTTTTGATAGATCCGAAATTGTGTCAATAATTCGCGTGTGATCATAGCTTTATGATGTTTGTGGCTAGTCTTTGAAAATATGAGTCAACCATCGTATGCCATGTGAATCCTGGCGCCTAAAACAAAAAAGATGTCGTTTTTCTAGCTTCCGTAATTGTACGAACATCAGCCACACTTGGTGTGGGTAAAGACAGTTCTACAAGTACAGATCCGGTCATGAAACCATACCTTCAATGCGCCTCGTTTTGGTGTTCCCGAGCCAGAAATCGTCTGCAAAATCTGGCACATGCGTGGTGACCTAGATAACTGGCTGCTGACCTCCACGGTTGGCAAATGAGGGTTGAAGGCAGACACGGAGACATCTGACGTGTCGGAAATGTCTGAAAGATACAGACCCAACCAACAAACATTGTCACTTAGAACTAAAACGTTTGTTCTATCACGTCCAGTAACTGTCCGTCTAAGGTAGGGGTTGGTACTTTAATTTTATACGATCACATCTCGTCGGATTCGAAATTTTGTAGATTAATCCCCAGAACGTCCCATAGTATTGGGGGGGGGGATTTTAGGGTTAGGCTTAGTAGTAGTCACTATTCGTTTAACACTAGCCCTAACCCTAACCACCCCTCCCCATAATATTGTACTGTTTAGAGAAACCCCTAGGGATACCTAGAAATTCCCTACGAAATGTGGTCGTATAAAATTAAAGTACCTATGGCTTAAAGGGAAAGAGGGTCGACATAGTTTTTCTAACCGGGTGTTTTTTTTAATTTTTTTTTTTTTGTTTGGTTGTCTTTGTTTAGATCCACAAGACGCGGCTTGTCTGCGCAGAGCTTTACACAAATCAAGAACCTCCGCAGCTCCTATAATGATCCCTGCCATTTTCCATGAATTTTCAATGCACAAGCTGTCTCAACTATGAGTTTCCTCCTTGGTGGTCGACGCCTGCCTGTTCTTCCAAGACCCAAGTATACAATTACGGTTCTTATTAAAATTAATGCGACGTTTAATGTCAACAAAGTATTTCAGATTCCGAGCAAAATCCTTGGCAGTATTTTCAGGGTGATATTACATGGTTCTGAGGTCCATATTTCCGGGTGGAGGCCGGCCGTACGTGAATGCAAAACAGCTGCTATCCAGTAATCAGGTAAGCACATTTTCAGCTTCATTACAAACGGGTCACTCCACAGTCGGCCTCTTCCTGGGCCAGGGAAAACCCATACAGAATGTCCATCACTGTCGCATGTGACAGACATTGACACAGGCTGCCATTTCATCAAAGCACACATAGGCGTTAAATACATAAGTTAGCTGTCAGAGGTGCCAATCCAAATAGGCCGGTACTAGAAATACAGTTCATCGCCGTTAGAGGCAGCAGTTACAACAGATCAGTAGCTGCATACGTAATTAATCGCATAAGGTGCCATCAATTATCTGGCAACAGGTCACTCGCCATTTTCAGAATCAGATGCCAACATATCATATATGACTGTATTGTAGACATCTTCAAGACCAGGTGCTACCGCTTTAATTCTGGAACCCTTAATAAACAACTACAGCAAAAGTGGCTGCATTTGGCTAGGTATCTTTACTGGCCCGTAACCACCCACACCTCTCAGTGGGAGATCTTCCTCTTCCAAAAACGTTTGCAGTTTAACAGCAGTATTTTTTTCCTGGCACCTTGCCAAAAGTATTTTATAAAGCAATGGTTCTCAACCTTCCTAATGCCGAGACCCTGTAATAAAGTTCTTTATGTTGTGGCGACCCCCAGACATACAATTATTTTTGTTGCTACTTCATAATTTCGGTGAATATGTGTTTTCCTATGGTCTTAAGCGACCTCTATGAAAAGATCGTTTAACTCCCAGAAGGGTCGCGATCCAGAGGCTGAGAGCCGCTGTTGTAGAGTGTCGAATCTGAATCTCGAATGATTTTTGCCTGGTTTTGGAAGTGGGATTAAATAAAGAACTTTCTTGTCAACTTTCTGGGGGGGGGGGGGGGGGGGGGGGGGGGGGGGGTTAACATTTTGATAAATAGAAAACAGCTCGTTGGGTGAGGGGAGGGGGGAGAAGACAGAAAGAGGGATCGTTTGAGATACAACGGGTAGAAATTATAGGTAAAGTAAAATAGCTTTTCCACGGCTTTAAGTGCATTGGGCATATAGGGCTCGACGTATATTTTATAGACCAGCTGGTGGGTGATGTGGTCTATATGTACTTTCCCGTGACTGCAACTGGTACCCATTCAACGCTAGTCGACCTGGGAGCTAAGGTGATTTTTGAAGAAAGCGCGGGTCCGACAGGACTTGAACCAACGACCTTCCCATCCGCTGGCGAGCGTTTAGCCGCCACCACACGGCAACTCCTGAAATTATAGGGGAGGCAATGAACAGAAAATTATTGATACTTCCATTATGGCACAGACAATATCATCAAGTGAATTGATACGGTCTGTCGGAGTGAAATATGTCAGACTAGAAGTTCTCGATTCAGCACGAAAATGAAAAGAATCGAATGTTGCGGACTTATTGCATAAGCTGTCCGCTGACGGCTGATCCCTGCCAATGCCGGTCCCAATCCAAGATGAATAAGGACAAGGGTAAGGCGTGGGGCCAGCTCCCCCATCAAGTTAAACAAAATATTCACAACAGAAACTTACACGAAAAGATCGACGAGACTGCACAGTATAGAGCGGAATGCATGAATAGACAGCGAGCCATATAAACACACAGCGGAGTTGCCTAGGCTATCCATCATCCGTTAAAACGACACATAGCGGCATAAAGCCGATACCGTCAGAAGAAAAGAAGAACACAAATGGCCGGATTATTACAAACAAGACTGAGTCTAGACCACTAGATTTGTACCCAGTGGCGAGACGTGACAAATTCGCATGTGTAAGCGTTAGCAGTAACGGTTACACTAGCCAGGGTATCACGTGATATCTTCCTCCTCGTCGATTCGATGATTTGAGCATGCGAGCGTAGCTAGCAACGTAAGACTGGTAAATGGTAGCTTTCACACGCTTCAGTTTCTGTGTGAGTGGGGTAAGCCGGCAGAAAGCGTTCCCCCCCCCCCCCCCCCCCACTATGCTTGAGACTTGAACCATGTGGCGTAACTGTATTGAATGTTAAACAATAGTAACAAATAATGAACTAATATTTCTTTGGCGAAGACTACAGCCGCCACATCCACGCTTCGCCTCACCTGACTTCTGATCGTCGTCACTGTCGTCACTGTAGGTCAACGATCCTCTCTTGCTGTAGAGGAAGGCAGACGATAAAGATCGAGTAGGTTCTCGCAGATCTTCGTCCCGACTCGTTGTTTTCCGGTTTCTTCTTTCTTTCTTCTTAGTAGACGATCTCACTGTCGCAGCCTAAACGTGGCCAGACGACGAATTCAATGAGAAACCTGTTTGTTATCCGTCTGTCGGTCTGAAAGTCCACCTGTCTGTCTACTTTATCTATCTATCTATCTATCTATCTATCTATCTATCTATCTATCTATCTATCTATCTATCTATCTATCTATCTATCTATCTATCTATCTATCTATCTATCTATCTATCTATCTATCTATCTATCTATCTATCTATCTATCTATCTATCTATCTATCTATCTATCTATCTATCTATCTATCTATCTATCTATCTATCTATCTATCTATCTATCTATCTATCTATCTATCTATCTATCTATCTATCTATCTATCTATCTATCTATCTATCTATCTATCTATCTATCTATCTATCTATCGATCGATCGATCGGTCGGTCGGTCGGTCGGTCGGTCGGTCGGTCGGTCGGTCGGTCGGTCGGTCGGTCTGTCGGTCGGTCGGTCGGTCGGTCGGTCGGTCGGTCTGTCGGTCGGTCGGTCGGTCGGTCGGTCGGTCGGTCGGTCGGTCGGTCGGTCGGTCGGTCGGTCGGTCGGTCGGTCGGTCGGTCGGTCGGTCGGTCGGTCGGTCGGTCGGTCGGTCGGTCGGTCGGTCGGTCGGTCGGTCGGTCGGTCGGTCGGTCGGTCGGTCGGTCGGTCGGTCGGTCGGTCGGTCGGTCGGTCGGTCGGTCGGTCGGTCGGTCGGTCTGTCTGTCTGTCTGTCTGTCTGTCTGTCTGTCTGTCTGTCTGTCTGTCTGTCTGTCTGTCTGTCTGTCTGTCTGTCTGTCTGTCTGTCTGTCATGTTTTTTCTGCCAGCAGGTCTGTCTGTCTCGCGTTATTTATAATGTGAAGCTTCCTTTAATACGTTAATTTATTTCTATCCTTTTTCTTTTAAAATGATGTTTATATATTTTACTTACAAGATCAAGGTCAGTGAGGTCATCATCAGGCCCTGACACCGGAAGATATTCCGCGTATTCAACTGAGGAATCATGGGAAACGAATCAAACAAGAAATCTATTTCCTTTATAGAAACACAGCTGGTTTGTAAACTGGTTATCCGGTAAACTGATTGGGTGGTTAAATGGTTGGCTGGTAAACTGATCGTTTTTTTAACTGGTTGGCTGGTAAACTGACTGGTTTGGTAACTGTTAGGCTGGTAAACTGATTAGTTAACTAGCTGGTTAGTAAGTCTGCTAACTGGCTGGTTGGTTTATTGGTTGACTGGATTATTAACGGGCTTACCTGTTGCCTGGTTGGAGGGTTTTTTTTTTAACTGGTTGGCTGAAAGGCAAAATTCATACACAAATATATGGGACTTCTCCATCCCAAAATAGAAGCATACAGACTACACACAATTATGTGGGACTTCTACATTCCAAGATAGAAGCATACAAACTATAAATACTTATATGGGACTTCAACATCCCAAGATAGAAGCATACAGACTATAAACACTTATATGGGACTTCTACATCCCAAGATAGAAGCATACAGACTATAAACACTTATATGGGACTTCTACATCCCAAGATAGAAGCATACAGACTATAAACACTTATATGGGACTTCTACATCCCAAGATAGAAGCACACAGACTATAAACACTTATATGGGACTTCTACATCCCAAGATAGAAGCATGCAGACTATAAACACTTATATGGGACTTCTACATCCCAAGATAGAAGCATACAGACTAAACACAATTATATGGGACTTCTACATCCCAAGATAGAAGCATACAAACTATACACAATTATATGGGACTTCTACATCCCAAGATAGAAGCATACAGACTATAAACACTTATATGGGACTTCTACATCCCAAGATAGAAGCATACAGACTATACACAATTATATGGGACTTCTACATCCCTAGATAGAAGCATACAAACTATAAACACTTATATGGGACTTCTACATCCCTAGACAGAAGCATACAGACTATAAACACTTATATGGGACTTCTACATCCCAAGATAGAAGCATACAGACTATAAACACTTATATGGGACTTCTACATCCCAAGATAGAAGCATACAGACTATAAACACTTATATGGGACTTCTACATCCCAAGATAGAAGCATACAGACTATAAACACTTATATGGGACTTCAACATCCCAAGATAGAAGCATACAGACTATAAACACTTATATGGGACTTCTACATTCCAAGATAGAAGCATACAGACTATAAACACTTATATGGGACTTCTACATCCCAAGATAGAAGCATACAAACTATAAACACTTATATGGGACTTCTACATCCCTAGATAGAAGCATACAGACTATAAACACTTATATGGGACTTCTACATTCCAAGATAGAAGCATACAGACTATAAACACTTATATGGGACTTCTACATCCCAAGATAGAAGCATACAGACTATAAACACTTATATGGGACTTCTACATCCCAAGATAGAAGCATACAGACTATACACAATTATATGGGACTTCTACATCCCTAGATAGAAGCATACAAACTATAAACACTTATATGGGACTTCTACATCCCTAGACAGAAGCATACAGACTATACACAATTATATGGACTTCTACATCCCAGGGTAGAAGCATACAGACTATACACAATTATATGGGACTGCTACATCCCAGGGTAGAAGTATACAGACTATACACAATTAGATGGACTTCTACATCCCAGGGTAAAAGCGTACAGGCTATACACAATTATATAAGACTTCTACATCCAAAGATAGAAGCACGCAGACCATACACAAGTATATGAGACTTCTACATCCCAAGGTTAGACACTCTTTTAGAGTGTTGTTTGTCCATCTCTTGATGTTGTCCTGCCACTTGTATCGTCTCATGTATATATCTTGCTCTCTATTCTTCGACTTTTCCCTCCAGTATGGTTTTTAAAATAATGTTACCTCTTTGAATGTGGCCGAAAAATTCCAGTTGTCTCTTTTTAAATTCTTTCAGTAACTATCTCACTCGCAGTCACTCCAAAACTTTTGCATTCGATTATTTTTATTTTCACGAAAGACAACATATTCTTTGTCTTGTCTTGTCTTGTCTTGTCTTGTCTTGTCTTGTCTTGTCTTGTCTTGTCCACAATTGCCTCACAGCGTAGTGGGGAGTCGCAGTTTTCTATCCTGGGCCAGGTGTGTTGCACGTGTTGTTGTTAGTCCGTGTTGCCTCAGGATCTCTGATATATTGTCTATCCATCGTACTCTCGGTCTGCCTCTTGCTCTAGGGCAGTAGTGCTGTTCGTTGTATGCTCGTAGAGGCAGTTGGTCGGTTTGCATTCGCATCAAGTGGCCAAACCACTCTATTTGTTGCTTCTTTATGTATTGCAGGCATGGTGTGGTTCCTACAATTGATCTTATGTTCTCGTTTCGAACTCTGTCTCTCCTTGTGACATTGGCAGCCTTACGTAAGCATATTCTTTGATATATCAAAATCTCCATAGACTGGTTTCGATTTTCCAGTAGCCTGGTCAATCTCCAGGTTTTTGTACCAATCAGCTCGATTGCGTGCGTATACATAACATTTGACTTTTTTTTTTGTTTCAATCTTACTTGCTGTCTGCATTTTGCGCATCTTATTGAAGATAGGTTCAGACATTCCTATTCTCTTTTTGATTTCTGTTTCACTTTTGCTATTATCTTTTATTGCGTGTTCAAACTAGGGGAAACTTGCTGCTTGTTTTGATATATCTCTATCGCGAAATTGTGTTTGTCTAAAATGTTTGATATGAATATAACAAGTTCGGAAAGTTCTGCTCTACAATGATCAGTCAACCCCTATGCACTTAGGAGGAAAATAAAACTCGGATCAAGATAACCATTAGAACCCAGTGGAACATTCCCTTCCCACCCAGGACACAGTGCCGATGACCCAGTCAACCTCCTCACACGAAAGAAACAGAGCATCAGATCTAGACTGCGTACTGGACACAACAAACTCTGCAGCAATTTGTACCAGAAACTGAAAACTAGGAGATTCAGAATTTTCTCCATGTGGACAGGTACCACAGAACACTGAACAAGTGCTACAGACATGTTCCCTACATGAAGTAGAGAGACCCCAGGTTTGGCCTGTTGGCATTTCAATGGAAAACAAGCTGTGTGTAACAGTGGAAGACATGCGGGCGTGCTATAGACTTCTCATCTCTTCTCACTTGCAGGGAAAATGACAATTAAGCATTAGTGAAATAGTGGTTCGGGAACAGCCTTTTTTTTTAACTTCTTTTGTTGAAGAAGGCTGTGGCTCAGACGTGTCCTCACCTTTCTCTCTTGGCCTGGACGACCTCTGTGATCTGGTTGCCAATGACGCCGTTGCTGGGACTTTGACCTTGGATCTGTGAGGTGGTCGGGCAGTTTGACTTGGGGTGGCCAGGTTTGGCAGCGCTCTTGCCTTCCCCACCTGGGATGTTTTTATTGGTGACGGTACAGTGACTTGTCGCCTGGTGCTGTGTTTGAGTGGATGACGCTTGATGGCTGTGACACAGTATCAGGAAGATGAAACCAGGTTTAGGGCAAGACATGACAGTACATGCTACAGCTTGTTTAGTGTTTTGTAGTTGTAGAAGTACGGAGTTGGATCTTTTTCAAACATTACCTTAGCTTCACAGGTCGACCAAGCCTTAAATGGGTACCAGGTAAAGTCCCGGGAAGTAAAGCGGCATGTGTGGTGTTGACCTCATCATCTACCAAGTGCCGATTGGTCTATAAAGTATAGCTCTAGCACTATATATCCAGTGCGCCCCAAGGCGTGGAATAGGGTCCTTTACTAGTTGTAAAACGTAGGCCCATTTTCATTCTACTGTACAATCAATTTCTTGCGCTTGTGTATGAGTGAGACAGCTTTCGAGTTCAACATATATAAACATACATAAACATTCAGCGAGAGAGATCTAGGGGGTGTGAGGGAGAGCAAGAGTGAAAACTATATATATATATGGGCAAATGTTGGATTATATGCATACATGTGCAGTCACTGTGAAACAA